CAGGAACAAGGCAAGGATGTCCCCCTCACGATTCCTATTCAGCATCATACTGAAGTGCTAGCTAATGCAGTAAGACAAGAAAAGGAAATAAAGGCACACATATAGGGAAAAAAGAAATGAAACTGTCTTCGTCAGCAGATGACATGATTGTCTATATAGAAAATTCTGAAGAACCAACAAACTCCTGGAACTAATAAGTGATCATACCAAGGTTGCAGGATACAAGGTTAAAAGAAAAATCTCAAATCAATAACCCAATCTTCTACCTAAGAAGCTAGAAAAAGAAGAGCAAACTAAACCCAAAGCAAACAGAAGGAGGGAAATAATAAAGATTAGAGTGAAAATTAATGACATAGAGAACAGAAAAATAATACAGAAAACCAACAAAACCAAAAGTTGGTTCTTGGAAAAGATCTCAACAAAACTGATAAACCTTTAGCTAGACTGACCAAGGAAAAAAGGGGTGGGGAAGGCAGAAGACTCAAATTAGTAAAATCAAGAATGAAAGAAGGGACCTTACAGAACTAAACAGGGTAAGGGAGTACTGTGAACAACTGTGAACAACTGTGAAGGAGCCCTGGTGGTACAACGGTTAAGCACTCAGCTGCTAACTGAAAGGTCTGCAGTTCAAACTCAACAGCCACTCCGTGGGAGAAAAGATCTGGTGATCTGCTCCGGTAAAAAATCGCAGCCTAGAAAATCCTATGGGGCAGTTCTAGTCTATCCTATAGGGTTGCTATGAGTCAAAATCGACTCGATGACACACGGTAATAATGAACAACTGTATGCCAACAAGTTAGATAACATAGATGAAACGGACAAATTCCTAGAAAGCTACTGTTGTGTAAAGAACTTAACTTTACCTAAAGTAATGTGGTCTTGCTCCTGTTCCCTGAAATGATAACCCTAAATCCTTGGTATTTCCCAAGTAACTGAGGTGCCTTTATTAGCAGAAACCTCCAGACCACACCTGAGGATGTATGCTAATGAATGAGGGTTGGCCAGATTAAAAAGAACTCACCTGGTAGGCCTATGTCAACTAACCTCAGGAGGCATGATTTAGCCTCTCATGCATACGCAATGAGGGCTCAGTTATGATCTGCTGATAAAAGCCTAAAACATGAAGGCTCAGGGAGGTTCCTGGCTGATGAAGGGAGGGTGACATGCCCTCTCTGGGACACAGAAATTTCATGTTGGGAACTCTCACAGACTTTGCCATGAGTCTCTTCCTTATGATGATCCTAATTTGTATCCTTTTGCTATAATAAATCTATAACCGTTAGTATTCTCCGTGAGTTCTGTGAATCACCCCAGCAAATTATCAAACCCAAAAGAGAAGGGGAAGCCAGCAGGTGAAAATGAGGGTGTTGTGTGGTCTCTCAAACTTGTGACTGGCATCTGTTTGGCAGTGTGAAGGACGGTGTCCTTTCAACCTGTGAGATCTGCCCTGCCTCCGGGTGGCTGAGTCAGAGAGACAGTGTCAGAAATGATTGACAAGTGGGAAGGTGGGGACTGAACTAATCTCCACATTTTGGGATTGGATGCTGATTGTTATCCACAAAGGTACAAACCACTGAAACTGACTCAAGAAAAATCTGAATAGGTCTATAACGAGATTAAATCAGTAATCAAAAACTTTCCACAAATAAAAGCCCAGGACCAGATGGTTTCACTGGTGAATGTGACCAAACGTTTAAAGAACTAACACCAATTCTTAATGAGCTCTTCCAAAAATTTGAAGGAGAGAAAATATTGCCCAACGCATTCCATGATGTCAAGATTAGCCTGGTACCAAAAACAAAGAAAGATATCACAAAAAAAGAGAACTACAGACCAGTATCACTGATGAATACAGATACTAAAATCCTCAACAAAATACTAGCAAACCAAATCCAACAACATAGAAAAAGGATTACACACCACGACCAGAAAAAGAATTTGACAAAATTTAGCTCCCCTTTAGGACCAAAAACTCTCAACAAGCCAGGAACAGAAGGGAGCTTCCTCAACATCATAAAGGGCATCTACAGAAAACCCAGAGCTAACATCATACGTAATGGTGACAGACTGAAAACTTTTCCCTCAAGATCAGGAAGAAGACATGGATGTCCAGTCTAGCCATTTTTATTCAACTTTGTACTGGAGGTTACAGCCAGGACAATAACGCAGGAAAAAGAAATAAAAGGCATCTAGATTGGAGACAAGTAAAACTATCTCTACTTGCAGATAGCATGATCTTGTATATGGAAAATCCTAACAAATCCACCAAAAAAGCAAAAACTATTAAACTAATAAATGAGTTCAGCAAGCTTGCAGGATACAAGATCAACATACAAAAATCAATTATAGTTCTATACACTTGCATGAACAATCTAAAAATGAAATTTAAAAAATCCATTTATCTTCACATCAAAAAAATAAAATACTTAGAAATAAATTTAACAAAAGTGCAAAACTGGAACACTGAAAACTACAAAACATTGTTTAAATAAAGAAGACCTAAATAAGTAAAAGACATCCCATGTTCATGTATCAGAAGAGTCAGTATTGTTAAGATGGCAATAGTCCCCACATCAATTTACAGATTCAATGCAATCCTTATTAAAATCCCAGCTGTTTTTGCAGAAATTGACAAGTTGATTCTAAAATTCATATGGAAATGCAAGGGACCCAGATTAGCCAAAATACAAAAAAGAGAAAAAAAGTTGGAGGACTCATACTCCCCAAATCGAAATTACTACAAGAGTAATCAAGACTGTGTGGTACTAGCATTAGGATAAACATATAGATTTTAAAAAAACAGAACTGAGCATCCAGAAATAAATCATACATTTAAGGCCATACATTTAAGGTCAAATGATCTTCAACAAGGATGTCAAGGTCATTCAGTGGAGAAAGAATAATCTTCAACAAACAGTGCTAGCAAGAAGATGTTAGATCCCAACCTCACACCACTGACAAAAATTAACTCAAAATGGATCCAAGACCCAAATAGAAGAGCTAAAACTATGAAACTCTTAGAAGAAAATATAGCTTGCAATCTTTGTGACCATAGGTTAGGCAATGATTTCTTAGATACAGTATACTAAAAGCACAAATGAGTAAAAAAAAAAAAAAGAGATAAATTAGACTTCATCAAATTTAAAAACTTCCGTGCTTCAACGGACACTATCAAAAAAGCACAGACAGAATGGGAGAAGATATTTGCAAATCAGATAAAGGTCTAGTATCTAGACTATATAAATAGTCTAGTACCTACACTAATAAATGACAACTCAGTCAGGACAAACCCAGTTAAAAATGGGCAAGGGATTTGAATAGACATTTCTCCAAAGATGATATAAAATGGCCAATAAGCATGTGAAAAGAGCCTCAATATCAATAATCAAGAAAATGCAAATTAAAAACACAATGAGACATCACCTCACCACCAGTGAGATGGCCAAAATAAAACAGATAATAACACGTGTTGGTGAGGATGTGGACAAATCAAAACTCTCTTATATTGCTAGCGGGGATGTAAAACGGTGCAGCCGCTGTAGAAAATAATCTGGCAGTCCCTCAAAACGTAAAACATAGAATTACCATATCATTTTAATGCTACTCCTAGCTGTATACCCAAGAAAAATGAAAACATATGTCCACACGATGTGTACGTGAATGTCACAGCAGCATTAATAGAAAAAGGCCAATGACAAAAGGCCACATATGATTTCGTTTACGTAAAATGTTCAGAATAGGCAAATTCATAGAGATAAGAAGTAGATTAGTGGTTGTTTAGGGCTTGAGGAGCCCTGGTAGCATAATAGTTAGGTGTTTAGCTGCTAACCGGAAGGCTGGCAGTTCAAACCTACCCAGCAGCTCTGTGGGAGAAAGATCTGGCGATCTGCTCCCATAAAGACTGTTGTTGTTGTATGCTGTCAATTCTGACTCATAGTGACTCTATACGACACAGCAGAACTGCCCCATAGGGTTTCCTAGGCTGGGGAGCCCTGGTGGTGCAGTGGTTAAGTGCTCGGCTGCTAACCCAAAGGTTGGCGGTTCAAACTCACCAGGCATTCTGTGGGAGAAAGATGTGGTAGTCTGCTTCCGTAAAGATCACAGCCTTGGAAACTCTGTGGGGGCAGGCGATGGGTATGTATGATCTTTACAGGAGCAGATCACCAGGTCTTTTCTCCCACAAAGTCACTGGTGGGTTTGAACTGCTGACCTTTTGGTTAGCAGCCGAGCGCCTGACTGCAGCCTAGATAACCCTATGGAGAAGTTCTACTCTGTCACATGGGGTTGCTATGAGTTGAAAATCAACTCAATGGCACTTAACAACCACAGGGCTTGAAGGGAGAGAGGTGGAGCATGGGGAGTGACTGCTAAAAGGTGTGAAGTTCCTCTCTGGGGTGATAAAAATGTCCTAAAAATTGATTGTGGCAATGGATGCACAATGCTGTGAATATACAAACCATGAAGCGCACACTTAAAAAGGGTGAATTTTATGGGATGTAAGGTCTATCTCAATAAAGCTGTTACTAACAGCAAGAGTGAGGTAGCTATGTTCTGACAGAGAACGACCACCAAAACGTTTCATGGAGCCGGAAACGCAAGGTGCCAACGCTGCACGTGGCCCACTGCCATCTGCACTGGTGTTAAAAACGGCACTTACGTACCAGCTCAAGCTCCTGAGGGGACACGTGCAATCGGTCACCTCCTGGGAGGGAGATGGGAAACGGGGGTGTTGGGAGGAAGACCACCTGCCCTCAAGCACTTGCTAAGTGTCGAACATTACGGAAGGCACAGCCTGCAAGGAGACGCCCCACTGGGGACACGCTGGCCGTTTTCACATCTGCAGAGCTCCCGGGGTCTTCTGCCAGGCCAGGCCTGGAACCCAGACAGGGGGCCAGCCCCATGGCAGGGGAGAGTCACGCCTACAGGGCATTTAATTAGAATCTGCACCCTTCGCCTCCCCCCGCCCCCACCCCGGGGCCACGAAGCTCTTGGTCGTGTTAGATATACAACTATGTTCAGCCCTGAGGTTACTGGTCGACTTAGGTCTGCTCTCCAGTCTGAACACGCCAGCCAGCAGTGCAGCGGCAGAGGAGAAGCTGGAGGCCAGAGGGGACCACACTGCACTTGGGTTCAGCCCTTTAATTCAGTGCATAATTAAACTGGTTTGCAAACTTCTCGTGCTTCTTCCGGTCCATCTGGTTCATGGCTGTGATGACCCTCCGCACAGCTGCCCTGTGGGAAAAGCAAACCTGGACAGTGATCGGGGGGATCCAATGACGGCACTGGGCTCCCGGCCACGGCTGGGCATCTGGCACCATCAGAGCAGATCCTGCCCCCCAACCCCCAGCCGTGCTGGGCTCAGACCCTGGTGCTGCTGAGGTGACAGCGCCTCGAGGTCTGCCCTGGTACGTCTCCTGTGGCGTCCTCCAGCCCCGAAGGCAGCTCCCAGGAGCCCCAATCTTGCCATCATGGGGGCTGCAGCCCAGAACGAGGACCCAGCCACCCAGTACCCACGTGGAGAAGAGCCCGTGCTGGTGAATGCAGCTGGGAAGTGTCTGATTCAGACTCTGCCAGGCCCCCTGCTCCACAGCTGCACCCTAAAGCCACGCAGTCTTGGGAAGCGTTTGCAAACGTGTAGCAAAGAGCTAGTGGAAGGCCTGCACGGTCACCGCCTCCCGACACCACACTGACGAGCAGAAGCATGTTGAGCTGCCCAAGCTAGCTGCTGTGGTGTGTGGTGCTGAGGTCCAGACGGACTTTGCACCCAAAGGGGCACCCGGGCTACAGAATGGCCACGAGGAGCTCAGCTGGGACAGATGAGCATGGTGACACCCACCTGCCAGCGTCACAGTAACTGGCCTCATCTCTGAAGTTGCCGCTGTGGACACTGTGGCACCCTAGCGGCGTCACCCCAGCTCACCAGAAACAAGGACAACGTGGCTGGCCAGTGAAGGCCCCTGACCAGGAACATGCTTCCTCCCCGTCAGGGGTGTCCAGCTTGGAGGCTCTGCTTCCTGCTTGGGCCACCCATCCTGCTTGTAGGTGGCTAGCACCTCCTCCCCGCCCCTCTTCACTTTTATGGGACTGAGGTATGGGCCGTCCCCCAGGAAGAAACAACCATCCTGCCCCCACTCCCCCCGCCCCTGGAACATCTTAGAACTCGGTCAGGCTCTCCTCGGAGAACACTCCCAAACTGAGGTGCTGGGGGACTGGGTAGAAGACTTACTTGTCAAAGACCTTTTTCCCGATGCGTGCCCGGGCCGTATCTGCCTGCTGCTTCAGATCGGTGAGGTTGGGGTACTTCCTCTTCTTCCCTTTGCCCTTGCCCTTCCCGCCGTACCGGGACGAGCCCAGGTCCACCTTCACGGTGGCCTCAACGTCTCTCATGAACTCCGGGTCCTGCCAATCTGTGAACAAAACACAAGGGTTACGGAAAGGCCTGGCACTAACCACAGCACCCCTCATCCACCCCTTGACTGGGCGGGGACAGCCACCATGTCCCTTCCTGATGGATGGGGTTGGGGCAGGAGGGACAGTCGGCCCACTCACTGCCCAGCCTGACCCTGGGCGTGGACGGTCTCTGCCAGCAGCAGGAGAGCTTGTTGCCATGCCACTCCAAGGGGCAGGGAAGTGGATGGCACAGACCATTCCCATGGCCCTGCGCCCCGACAGCCCCCGCGGCCTGAGTGGGCTGGGGAGGACCACGCAGGGCTCTGTGGGCAAGGGCCGGGGAGCTCTCTCTGCCGTGTCCACTGACCCCTCTTGTGGGAAGAGAAGGGGGTGAGGCTGTCCACAGGCTGCTTCCCGCCGCTGAGCTGACAGTGTCCAGCCTGGCACACTGCCTTCATCAGCCTCGTCTGCAGCTGGTGGGTCTGTGTTGCAGAAGTAGCCGTGGCTGCAGCAGGGGATGGGCTGGCCGCACATGGGTCCCCAGTGAGGGGCATGTGTTTTTACAGGCCCAGAGACAAGGCAGGGCTTTCCTTCACCCGGACAGCACTGCCCTTCCCCGCAAGCCCAAGACCATCCATCACGGCCACTGGGCGCAGGCCTGAGACACAGGGCCCTGCAGGCCAAGGTGTAAGCCTCATGGCAGCGGGAGGAAGCAGGGAAGGGACTGCAGACCAGCAGGAAAACACCATCGCCTGGCCCCAGAGATCCCGGCCCAGCAGCCCCAGCCTGCTGCCGACAGGGAGAGCGATGTGGCCACCTGCCCAAGACATGATGAAACACTGGCTCGGGCAGAGACTGGCCACGCGCTCCTCTGGGGAGGTGGCCCTGCATGGGAGCATGGCATCGGGCCAGAGGGTCGGAGAGTGGGCCTGCGAGTCTCTGCTTCCACACCCCCAGTGTCAGAGGTCGCCAGCCGGCTGCCCAGCTCAGGGGGGCGGCAGCGATGTGCACCTGAGGTGTCAGACCTACAGACACCAACGCTGGCTGGCAGAAAGGTGCCAGACACGCCCTGATCCAATGGCTTCCGGCTGCACAGAGGGGACAGCCCACGCCCCAGGCCCCCAAGCCCACAGACAGACAGACCCTGGAGCCGGGAGGAAGGCAGGTCCCCAGACAAACAGATGGCCGGGCCTCCCCGAGTGGATTTTTTGAAGTGAAGGACTACGGGGCCGCACAATTCAGATACAGGAACGATTAATCCAAGATTAAGGAAAACTGTCTAAACAGTTTATCTCCCAGTAATAAGAAGGCGTCACAGTTTAGGAACCCAGTGAATGGAGCAATTGTTTAAACACAAGGAAAAAATGCCGGCATCCAGTAGAGATGGAATGAGCATCTCGGGAAAATGAAGGGGCAATTTAAAAGCCTTTGAAGAAAATCAATAGATGCCGGGCGGCGTGGCCTTCCTGAGCGCTGCCGGCCGGCGCCCGCCCGCATTGTCACCGGGGCGAGCGCTGGGGAAGAGAATTGCGCAGTGCACGAGGAGGCGGGGATCAATACTGTCGTTAGTAAAGAGATGCTATTTCACATCTGACTGGCCAGCAGCCGGCCGGCCCGCCGCCCTCATACCTGTTTGTTAACAAGTCACCAAGGGCTGCAAAACCAGATACTCTTCAGGGCTGACACAAAAAATAGGCACTTCATTTGCTCCGAGTGCGAGCCACCGGGGAAGGCCTCACCCCGCAGATTAACAGGTCAGCCCTCCCCCGTGCCAGCAGGGCCCCGGGCCCAGGCGCGCCTGGGCATCAGCTGAAATCCAGCGTGTCTCCTGTAATCACAGTGCAGACCCCTGATGATGACAGGAGCTGACGGAGGGGACGGGCTGCTGCCTGGGGCGCCCCCCCATGAGCACCACCAGGCGCCTGCGGACGTGGCGTGCCTTCCACCTGCCATTGGACGTGGGGGCGGCAAGCAGAGCCTCTGTGCAGAAGAGACGGAGGCCCAAGGCTGGGCAGGGCCCCGAACAAACCCTCCCTGTTGAACAGACACAAACCCAACTCCCAGAAGTCACAGAGCACAGGCATCGAGACAGACCAATTCAGCCCAGCACCTCCACTGCTCAGTCCCACAAGCACACCCCTAGCCTGGGCAGACCTACCCCACCAACACTGACAGCTTCTGTGTGCCTCTCACCCCCACCCGGCCCTGCAGAGACTTGCTGCTCAGGGACCCTCAGGGACCATGTGGCCAGCACAGGGCACCCACACAGGCCATGGCATGAGTCCCAAAGACAGCGGAGACACACATGCCTGAGACTAAACTGAGGTGGCTGGAGCCCACTTTTCATTTAGCTTGAAACTGGCCTAGGGCACCTCACCTAGGGCCCTGAAAGACATGGAGCTCTGCGAAGACCCAGCCGCCTCCAACGTCTGCGGTGTACAGGTCCACCTGGGACTGCCTGGAACTTCTTGGGCTGTGTCCCCTCCTCCTCAGCTCACACACGCACACACCCCCACACATGCACACACACACCCACACCGTTCCTTCCCCAGGAATACCCATCCCCTACGCACACACACACACTGCTCTCCCTGGAACACCCAACCCCTGCGTGCACACAAACACACACACACACACTGTTCCCTCCCCAGGAACACCCATCCCCTGCACACACACACACTGTTCCCTCCCTGGAACACCCATCCCCTGCATGCACACACACACACACACACACACAGTTCCCTCCCTGGAACACCCATCCCCTGCGTGTGCGTGTGCGTGCGTGCGCGCACACACACACACACACTGTTCCCTCCCCAGGAATACCCATCCCCTCTGCACACACACCATGCACACACACGCATGCACACCCCCCATTCCCTGACTGTCAGGCTTCCTGTTCCTCCTCCCAAGACCACAGCCTGGAGGTTGGGGCAGGGGCCGAGGGCTGGGACACTTCCCACAGGATGGCAGATGATGGCAGCGCCCATCACCCACGCACACAGGCTCCTCAGCGGGGGCCGAGTGTGATTTGGCGTGTGTGAGAGTGAGGTAACAGGTATTGGGAGGAGAAATGAAGTCTGCCTCCTGAGAAGGAACGCCGGGTACAGTCAATTCGTTTTTCTTGCCTTGAGTCCTTCATCTGTTTAAAGATGCCGTTAAAGCCCAGAACCCCATGCAAATAAACCAGCATGAGGTGGCGCCTGGGCCCTGGAGACGCAGCTCAAGTCGAAGCCTCAGCACCCTGCGCGCAGGCCGTTCAGGTACCACCCTCCTCCACGTTCTTACTGCTCAGAAGCAAGAAGGACATGCGGTGTCGCTGATCAAGAGCGGGGGTGGCGAGCGGGGCACTGCGAGTGGTCTGAGGCTGCACCGACCAAACGCACGTCCCTGAGACACCAGAGGGCTGAGCCCGGCCTGCACATGGTGCCCCCTGCCTCCCGCACCCCACTCTTCCCGCACCCCGGCTGCCAGACCTACCTGGGCATTCCGCCTGCCTCTGCAGCTGCTGCCTCTGCTCCCGGGCCCTGTCCTCTGCGTTGAGGGGCTGCCCCCTGTCATCTCGGGGGATGATCTTCCCGTGGAAGGGGCACTGCAAAGGACAGCGTGGTTCCGTGGGTGGGGAGGGGCAGCACACTCAGTCGGGGTGCACCTGCCACCTGGGGTCTCCACCCACCACGGCTAGTTCTACTCAGACAGCTCCCAGGGAGGGTGTGGGCGCACAGCGCACAGCCACCCTGCGGTGAGATGCTGAGTGCTTTGGGAGGCAGTGACATAGGGACAGGGTCCTCTGTCCTGACCTTAGCAGGTGGGACAGGGAGTGCAGTGGAGTCTGGGTGCTGTGTCGGTTTGGTGGCCTGGGTACTGCCCCTCCTGAGAGGCCCTCCCCGCCCTGCCCAGGGAGCCCAGGGAGCCGGGCGGGATGCTTGCCTCGTCGCCTCTGAGGATTCCAGCCAAGCCCAGAGCTGGGTCAGGGGACTAAGGAGTCACTTCCACAGGGCAGCACCGGCCCTAGGATCCTCAGCAGAAGGTGCCAGCACCTGCCCTCTGGTGACCCTGTCCGGCCCAGCCATTGTGCCCGCACCACCCGGCCTCACCTTCAGCCGGTCTTGGCGCTCACAGAGCCGGCCGTCGGGCCGTGGGGCGCGGCACCTGTGCTGCACTGGCTCAAACCTTCCCGCAAAGGTGATGTGGCGACTGCGAAGCATCTCTGAGACGTCCGCGTTGTCCACTTCCTCGTCCACCTCGCTGGGCCCCCAGAAGCGATGCAGAGAGTCAGCTCTGCAAGGCAAGCCCGAAAGACACTCAGAGCCCCACCCACGGGAGCGTGCCGCGTGGCACAGGGTGCAGGCGGAGGTAGGGCTGGCACGCTGGAGCAATGCGGCTGCCCGGGGGCCTAGGCTGGGATGGCCAAAGCCACATCACAGCCCCTCCACCCAAGGCAGGGTGATGGCCCCGCTGAGCCCTGAGGCCTCCAAGAAGGTCTCCTGGTCTGGCGTGGATGGGACGCAGACACTGGTCGGCCCAAGTTCAAACTCTGACACTGCCATGAGCTAGCCACAGGACTGTGGGGGGGGGACGGCAGCTGTGACCTCACCGAGTGCCAGGGGCAGGGGGATGCACGTGGAGCCAGGTTTATCACTAATGAGGGCGTGTGAGGTGACAGCGAGGACACTGCTGACCCTGCTCCAGGGAGGAAGCACGGACGGCAACACCAGTGACTGCTGGGGGGTGACGCAGGAGGACTCTGCTCCTTTCTCTTTTCCCAGAACGTTTTGTTATTAGCTCCCAAAAAGTTTTTTAAAATCTTTTTCCCTGCTGCTGCCCCCTGGTGTCCAGGTGGGGGAGGGCAGCCCTCCCACGGACTCCCAGGCCACACCTAGTACCGGCCCTCACAGCCACCACATCGGCCAGGGCTCCTGAGAGCAGGACCCTCCACCTGTGGTTGCAGTGGACATGGTGGGGGGCAAAAGGATGGTGTCCCGGGCTCACGGGTCCACGGGGGGAGGGGGAAGGACAGCAGCACCTCCCCCACCAGCTGCTCTCGGCCTGCCCCGCCCCAGGTGCTCCCACCAGTGTGCCCGCCCTCGACAGGGTGTACCCTGGGGCCTCCTGCTCCCACTGCCAGGCTGCCAGATGGGCAGCATAGGTACATCCCAGGTGCTGTAGGCACCCCTACGCCTGCAAGGAGCCCAGCACCCATGGTGTGAGCGACCTCAGGAAGCACCCAGTGAGGGCAGCAGGGTGCAGGAGGAAAGCTGGGCTGGGGGTAGGGGAGTCTGCATTTGCAGGCGCTCCTGGCAGGCGGAGGGTGGAGCGGCTAGGACCAGACACCGTCAGCCCAGGTAAGAGCACACAGGGCCCAGGACGGCCACCACCCCTGGGCTGCACCAGCAAGGGCAGGGATGTGCCAACTGCCCTGGAGAGCGCTCTGGCTGTGGGTCATGTCATCAGCAGCACAAGGGTCTACAAGAGTCTGGAAGGTCCCTGACCAGACCTTCAAGGACAAGGGGTCCACTAAGAACCTCAAGCACACCTATACTCACTTGAGAATCTTGCCGGTCGCCAGCTCCTCCTGGCCCCAGTAGCACAGGTCCACCCCGAAGGGCACCACGGGTGCCCGGGCTCGCTCTGCTGCCAGCTTCTGGGCCTCGTCTGGTCCCAGTGGCGCCCTGGAGGGGCTACAAGAGCACAGCAGGACTCGCAGACCGGCCACGGGCTCCTGTATCCCCTCTCCCTTGCTGCCCGCTCCCCAAGCCACAGACCAGGGCTGCCATGCATCAGTGCAGGGCTCTGCAAGAAGCGGACTCCAGCCATCGCAGGGGCACCTGGTAGACGGCTGCCCTGCCTGGTTCCAGCATCTGCCATCAGCCCTGGGAACAATGGCAGCTCTGCCCACCGGTGACCGCAGGAGCACTGCACCCTAACCAGCTCCGCCCACCACACAGCATTTACAGTCCTGGGCTGGAGCCCGGGCCTGGGAGGTGACTCAGGCAGGGCCTCTCCTCTCTGGGCCTCAGTTTCCCTGCGTGGGTAGTAAGTAGATGGGCACTGACTTCCAACGTCCCTTCCAATACCAACTTCCTGTGCATTTGCGTATTTTATAAAAGAAAACATTTCCCTTTTAAAGACTTGCAAATGTTAAAAAGAAAGCTTAAGTAGGCTCAGAGAAATCCTCCAGTTGGCATGGCCATGGTGCTCACAGCACACCATGCCTGGCCCCGCAGAGGTCCTGGGAGAAGCCCAGCCCCTCAGGCCCTGGACAGCCCTGCAAGGAGCCTGGTCTCTGCTGAGGCCGCTCACCTTGAGCCCAGGGGAACCGACGCCTGCCTCTCAGCCTCAGGCCCTCTCACAGATGGGTAGGGCCTGAAAGGGCCCTCTCGGCCCTGCCCACGCCCACTGTGCTCTGGCCCCCACACTGGCCCTGCGAGGACCCCCTTTGTCCCCCCAAGTCCCCACATGTGACACAGACGAGGTTCAGGACTGATGCCAGGGAAAGCACTACTTGGCCAAACTGGGGTAGGGGTCCCATGGGCAAAGCAGGCAGGGCAACAGGCAGTGGGCACCGGGAAGGCACCTGGAGGATGAGGGTGGGGGCAGCTGATCCCGGAGCAGCCGCAGTTGGGCGGCGGCAGAGGTGGGGTCTGATGCCTCCTCGTCCCTCCTTGTCCTCTCATGCAAGGCTCGAGCAGCGGATGCTCCCGGCGGGTCTTTCTCCAGAGTCTGGACAGGGGCTACTGGGTCCAGCCCTGGAAGAGAGACGCATGTTCACACCAAGCACCCTCCCCACGCCACTAAGCTCAGCACCCTACATCCAGTCTCTGCCTCCTGTGGCGGGGTGGGGGGGCAGATTCTCAGACACTACTGAAGTCATCACACCCGACCCAGCCCCGGAGGCCTAACACCCAGCCACCTGTGCTGACATGAGGACCTGGGCCTGCTCAGGCTGTCCACCTGCACCTCTCAGTTGGGCCTGGGGGCACTGCATTCTGGCACTGTCTTTTTGGTCTCTGTTCAGCCCTGTCCAGCCACTGAGCAAGGTAGCATCCAGGGATGATGGGTTGGCAGAGGACACAGGAGGTGCCAGGGTGTGGATCAGGACACCCAAGGCTCACCCAAGGGGTAGCCCCTGTCTCCCCAAACTCAGTGGGGGAAGCAACTAGGGCCTGGACTTCAGTCCATCCTCCTCCAGGTGCCACTCCAGGCAAGGCTGGCCCAGAGGAGGACCAACGGGGGAGCTGAGACACCCAAGAGCTCGGCTGCCAGGGAAGAAGGAAAACAAGCCCAACAATGCATCCCAGAAAAGGCAGGCTCCCCAGGTAAGACAGGACAGGTAACATAAGCATATTACAAAGTCCCCAAAACATCAGATGCCGGAAAGAAAGCCGTAACAAGGAGTTTTAAGAAGACGGGGAAGTTGAAGATAATAGCATGAAGAGTAAACAGGTGAAATGATGACTCACCACAGGGGCTGCAGAGCAGAACTGGACCAGCAGCACCTGAACAGCAGGGCGGCTTGACAGCACCCAGAGGGAACAAAGCATGAAGCGAACATCTAAAGTTCAGAGGTGTGCCGGGCAGAGGTACAAGTATCAACGTCCTTATTCTGGGCTCCCAGAAGGAAAGAAAAAATAAGTGGAGTGTAGAAAATAATTGAAGAGATAATGAGCCAAACCGTCCCAGGATTAGAGAAAAACTGAAGAGGCTCGCTGAGTGCCAAAGAGGAGACAGAAGGATACACAATGGTTGGACATATCATAGAGAAGTTTAAGAACATTAAGGACGAGGAGAAAAATCTGAAAAGTTTCCCCAGAGAAAAAGCTGATACCCTCAAAGAAATAAAAATCCCATCAACCCCAGCATTCTCAACAGCAACACTGAATGCAAGGTCTAGGAAGGTCATTTTGAAAGCGTTGAGGGAAAAGACACTCAAACCTAGAAATTTATATCCAGCTAAACTATCATTTCAATATGAGGATGAAAGGATAATGATCATCACGTATACGAGACCTCATAAAGTTTGCCACATGAAGATTTGCTTTGAAAATACTCTTAGAATAATCCATCAAGAAAAAAAATAAATTCAGATACGGGAAGATATAGCAAGAAAAATTAAGTACCTTTGCAAAGCTCTGTTGACCCCCTTTGAAAAGTGAGTATCTATAACAATTCAAAACTAAACTGTTGTACATACAGTCTAACATGATGGGTGCGGGAAGAGGTCCAAGGTGGGGAGAGGCACTTGTCTTGTACAGGGAGACAGTGGTAAACTATAAAAACAGTGAAAGGTAAATATATTATGAATCTTCTAAAAATTAAAGAAGAATAAATGCCTTTACCAGAAGAATAAAAAGAAAATGAATATTTTTTAAACCAGCAGAACAGCTGATCTAGCAAAAAGAAAGTGAGAAAAAGAAAATAAAACAGCAAGAACAGCAGCAAATCAAAGAGAAAGTATGGTAAACAGACGTACACAACAAATTGGCTAAACAAGTCTGAAAAAGTAATAATGCATTAAATGGATGAAAATCAAAAGACAAACAACTCTGATTGGATTAAAAGTACTTAGCAATATGGTGCCTATAAGAGACCCACTTACCACAAACGGTTAGCAAAAGGATGAAAATAAAGGGATGAAAAAAGATTATGCAAAAAGGAACCAAAAGAAATCTGAGATAATATGTTAATATTAGCAGAAAATGGATTTTAAGTTAAAAAGGAACATAAAAGAAGGAATATGTGAAGGTGTAATAAACATGAACATATATGTACCTAATAAATGTAGCTTCAAAACATATAAAGCAACTCAATATCATTAATCATTACCAAACCAAAAACCAAAGCCGTTGCCATCGAGTCGACTCCAACTCATAGTGACCCCATGGGACAGACTAGAACTGCCCCATAGGGCTTCCAAGGAGTAGCTAGTGGGTTCTAATTGCTGACCTTTTGGTTAGCACCGTAGCTTACTGTAGCACTTAACCACTGCACCACCATTAGTCATTAGGGAAATGTAAATCAAAACTACAATGAGATATCACTTCACACCTACTAGGATGGTGTTACAGATTGAATTGTATCACCCCAAAATCATGGCTAGGCTATGATTCCCAGTATTGTGTGGTTGTCTTCCATTTTGTGATCTGATGTAGTTACCCTATGTGTTGTAAATCCCAACCTCTATGATGTTAATGAGGCAGGATTAGAAGCAGTTATGTTAATGAGGCAGGACACAATCTACAGGATTAGGTTGTATTTTGAGCCAGTCTCTTTTCAGATATAAAGGCGAGAAGTGATCAGAGAGGAAGGGGACCTCTTATCATCAAGAAAGAAGAACCAGGAGCAGAGCACGTCCTTTGGACCTGGTGTCCCTGCGTTGAGAAGCTCCTAGATCAGGGGAAGATTGATGACAAGGACCTTCCCCCAAAGCCGATAAAAGGGAAAGAAAGCCTTCCCCTGCAGCTGGCACCCTGAATTCGGACTTCTAGCCTCCTAAACTGTGAGAGAATAAATTACTGTTTGTTAAAGCCATCCACTTTTGGTATTTCTGTTACAGCAGCGCTAGATAACTAAGACAGATGGCTAAAATCAAAAAGATGAAAAATAAGCATTGGCGAGGGTGTGGAGACACTGGAACCCTTGGGCATTGCTGGTGGGAATGTAAAATGGTGTAGTTGCTTGCAGTTTCTACAAAAGTTAAACACAGAAATACCACATGACCCAACAATTCCAGTCCTAGTTATGTACCCAAAAGAACTGAAAGCAATGACTTAGACACATGTACACCAACATTCATTGCAGCATGATTCTCAACAGCCAAAAGGTGGAAACAACCCAAGTGCCCATCAATGGACAATGGGATGAATGGATAAACAAATGTGCTCTAGCCATACAAAGGAATATTATTCAGCCATAGAGAGAAATGAAGTCCTGACACATGCTACAACATGGATGAACCCCGAACACATTATGATGAGTCATAGAAGCCAGACACAAAAGGACAAATACTGTATGATCTCACTTACGTGAAACGTATAGCATAGATAAATCCATAGAGACAAAGGAAGATTGGTGGTTACCAGGGGAGGAGGGGAGAATGGAGAGTTAAAATAT